CACAAACAGCCTTGAATCACAGCTTCTATGTGGCCCTTCTCCTGGATTACATTCCTGCCTGCCGTTATAAAAGCTTTTACTAAACAGGACAGTGATGCTCTCAGCGACGCACCGCACGGTTCAAACAGAAATAAACATTCTGAGCTCGGACGGTTGTAACCTCAGAGAGAAAGGAAAGTTTACGGCTAAATATATTTTGCGTGGTTTGCGTCTCGAGAGCACCCAGATGTGTTTTTCTATCAGCGTTGGCAGGCTTCTTACTACAACGCCAGGCATCTTGACGCTGAGCCGGGCGAGGAGGGGGATAGAGGGAGTCATGTGGAGATGAATAATCCATAAAAAAGCTCTGCCGGCCAGCACTCCCACCCTTTTATTTCATGACCTTCTCACTCTGCTGCTCCTCATTCGTTCTCTCGCTTTTTCTTTTTTTCTTTTTATCCTCCCCCAGCATCTTATCTGACCCTTCTGTGTCTAATACTTTCCCCCTGACCAATCCAGCTGGAAGAGGTTAGAGGCCAAAAACAATCTTTTCGTTTTGAGCGTTTGCACACGTGCGCTGTCAGGAGGCAGGTGCAGCTGTGGACTGTGATATACAAGCCTGCTGTTTGCGTGCTTTTAACCTGTGGGCCTCGACACGACCGAGACCACGCAGGAGGCAGATGTGGGCGTCTGCATCGCTCACTTACGTTCCAGCCTTTCTCTAAATGCTTGGTTTTAATACTGCCTCAACACTGTGACTCATTCCTTATTATATACATACAAGGACAAACTGTGCCCGTCTTGGACGCCAACAATAAACTCCTGTAAGAAAAACCAAAACACAAAATATGAACCCAAGTCTTCTCAAAACAAGTCACTGATGTAACTTGAATAAAGGTCGATGCCATTTTGCAGAAGTTAGTTAATATTGTGTGCAACAGAAACGGATAAAAATGTGAATTAATTCATACAAATTGAAGCCACGATCCACTTCAGGCCCGTCTAGGTCTGCTGTCATTGAAAATAAACACTTGTCTGGCCTAAAACTATATGATCTAGATTTATGTTGAAGCTCTGAGAAACAGCAAAGGTCCTCAGATAGTTCCCCGTGCTCGGGTTGTCTCACCAAATGGTCCCGTTCTGATAGAACATCTAAACTGATAAACCAACAGTGAAACATTTCATCATGAAGTTATGTATTTCTGACGCTGAACATCATTCAGTGTTAACGGTCATAGTTCATCTATAAAACTGCATAAGTGGAATTGAATACTTCCCACAGTTTCCCCCAGGACTACAAGACACCCCGGAAAATAAGGATATGAAGTTATTTGGAAAACAAATACTCTACAAAGTCGTGAAAAACTGGAGCATGAGCGATGAGCTCTCAGCGTTCCAATGACATCCAGTAGCTTCAAGCACACGGTCCAGTCCTGGGGTTTAGGTAGCTGCTGTAGAGAACAGGGGCTCCACCAGGGTGCCCATTGATCTACCGTAATCTCCAGACTATTGAGGCACCTGAATATAAGCCACACCCACTAACTTTAAAAAGAAAACCATTTGTGTACATATACAGGTCACACTTAAGCTGCAGGTGTCCACGTTGTAACACGAGATATTTACACAGAAAGATGTTTTACACTTTTAATTTAACACGTACCGGCAACATACACAAATACGTAAATGCTTTTTTCCGAACAGTGCCTCTAACACGGCTGGTTAAGAAAATAAAAGCTACAGCAGCCTACCAGGAAAAGTCATTGATCGCTATCTTCATCCTCCTCCTGAACACTAAAACCACTAAAGTCGTCTTCTTCAGCCTCAGAATTACTTCCTCGCACACTTCCTCAGTCTCTCTGTTGCTCTCAATGTCACTTTGGTCTCGAGGCAAATTCAGAAAAATCCATAAATTAGCCGCATCGTTGTTTAAGCTGCAGTGTTCAAAGCGTGTGAAAGAAGTAGGGGCTTATATTCCAGACATTACGGTAATTATTTTCTGGACTAATAGCTTCAGTGTTGGGCCTATAATATGTGAAAACAGAGTCGATGTCTTTGGAGTTGACTGATTTATCAGATGTTAACCTCGTTATAATGCTTTGTCCAATTTTGCTCATAATATGATTTAAACAATCCGTTATTTTAGTTGTTGCTAATTCATCGTTTGATTTTATTTCTCGGTCCGTTCATGTTTGACATCCACATTAAAAGCGGCACAAATCTGAAAATGTGCACAGAAACCCATCAGCGGATTAAAAACAGGCTGTAATGCAGCACATTCTCTTCATTCGCTCCCCTTTCTTCCTTTTTTTAAAAGTCAGTCCTCATCCAGAGCGGATTCGTTCATCAGCGCCGAGCCGATGATTAGAATTATCACGGGTGATGATTTCGTTCTAGTGATTCATAATTTAAACTCCGTTCTGCTGTATTTTGATCTCTTGGGCTGTTTTCTCGTTCGTCCTCTTTTCCTTGCTCCTCTTTTGCTTCTCTTCTTCACTGAGAGGCTCCTGGGACGCCTCCCCGGGATGCTCTTCCTCACATCCACCCTGAGCACAAACACTCACCTCAAATAATACAAAAAACAACCAGGCAGAATAATTTACACACATACAGTAGCTCTCTCCTTATCCAGTGCTTGAATTCCGTTTGCTTCCCTTTGTTGTGTTGCATATCATTAAACTTTCCACTCTCGCCTTTTGAAGCTCTTCCTTTTCATGTTCTGTGTTCTTTCTCTTATCGGCGTCGGTGCCAAATAGCTGCTTCCCACAGTGCGGCTGACGCTGGGTGAAGGCAGCTCCGCATCCTGTAGCGTTCACGTGAGGACGGCTGCGCTGTCAGGACACACCGGCTCGCTGCTTCATGGCAGAGACGAGCTACAACGAGCCCTCCAGCCTGGTTCAGACCAGCTGAGATGGAGCTGATTTGCATGTTTGAATTAGAGCGACTTTGCAGGAAATAGATTTTAAAACAGTTTGTTTGTTTCAGAAAAAACATGTCTGTGGTTGTTCTAGATGTTTGCACTGACATCCAGTGTTTTCTAGTGTGGTTCTGCTCTTCAGACCCACCGTCACGTCTACGTTGATCCCAATGAGCCACTGGTTCCAGGAATGTTTTCTATTTGAACCATATCTTGGCACCCAACTTTATTTGATCCTCTAGAAACACAGGTTACAGGCACCAGTTACAGCTTTTATAACTTCCTTTTAGAGAAATCACGCGTTCTCTGTCAGTTTGGCTGAAACTCTGCAGAGAAGTCGGTCGGAAACCAGAGCAAGTTCCTCATCATCACAGTCGAGGATGACACGGCCAATTCCCCCAGAATTGACCCTGAAATTAAAAATGAGTCGATCCAAGCTGCGGATTGTCTTCTCCCTTCTCAGTGTTGTAAGTTTTAGCTTCTGCAGCACATTTAATAGAGTTTTTAAACTTCTCTGTGATTGGATGCTTCTTACTGAAATGCATTCATATTTAACCTCTGTTCTAAAGTCTTTGTGTCTGTCAGCGTGAATTATTGATTTCCGTTTTAACCTTCTGAACCCCGAGCGCTGTCTGAGTTTGTTTTATTTGCTGCTGTTACATTTTTCTCTGTCTATACTATAAAGTCTTGCACCTCTACGGAAACACAGAGGCTCAAAAATGTCGCCTGTGCAGTACGACACGTTTATAATTTCAAAAAATCAGTTTTTTCCTGCTGTTGCACCTGGTAATATCGATTTATTTTATTTTATTTTTCGTGACCTCAGTTATACGAATGGTTTTGCACGATTTTAATGAAATATCACGATTTCCAGCTTAGATTTGATTTCTCAGCCAAACAGCACATCACAGATAAGAAGCTCAAGGATTGTTGGAAAAGTTCAAAAATCCAATAATTCCTTCTGTTTTTACAGTTTATGGCTTCGATAGTTGGTGTAATTTGGGCAATTTAAAAATAAAACGCGTGTCTTTTTAAATCCCCTGGTGGGTTTTGGGCTTCAGTGGGTTCTAAGACAGAACTTAATATTTTAAAATGATGATTTAACCGTCAGTAAAACAAACTGGCAAACAGCTACGATGAGAAAGACGTCAGCGGGCAACGTCGGCGCATCCCACTGATAGGAAACGGCCGGACGGCGTGTTTGGACACTCGTTATATATTTTTTAATTTTTTAAAAATATGCTTTTATTTTTTTAAAATATTTTTATAAATATTTTTTATATTTTTATTTTTTTAATTCTAGCAAAGAGAAATAAAAAAAATGCATATCAAGCAAGAGCTCAGGTCTTAAGAAGTTAAATGTGAAAAGTTTCTGCTTTATTAGACTAATGTTCATGTGAGATGTAAAAAATTTCAGGGTTTAGAAACAAGAAAACTGTAAAAGAGTCTCAAATAGTTGGACACGTCTTTAGCTGCCGTCACATTTTTAGTCACTGCAGACTAAAATCCTGGTCCTCTGTGGAAACAACAGTCTGTGGCTACGAGCAGAGAAGTCACACGTGTGTCTTCACACCTTTACAATGACATAAATCATACAAAAGAAGAAACTAAACTTGAATTTCTTTGATTATTTTTTGAACAGGACATTTTAAAACATGGTGTAACATGTACACGACCTGCAGTTCAGCTGAAACCTGATTGATTTGTATTTTTTGGTCATGTGACTGTTTGTGGTGCAAAGAAGCACCGAGTGTTTTGGTTTTTGTTCAACCTGGCAGATGTTTGTTTTTGACATTATTTTGTAGAATAAAAGAAATATATTTATATATAAAGCATACATTAATGTGCCATGGGACAGTTTGAAATCTGCTCTGGTTCTTTATGTTTTCATTGTTTGGGGCTTTGATAACAGGTGTAGTTTTTGGCCTCCACCGACAGGTTTTATGGTCCGTGGAGGTAAACAGACTGAATGTTTGACCCAGTAGATCTGACCTTTATTTACAGGACTACACTCAAATGGGCTGTTTCATTCTCTGAAATGTAAAATTCACACACTGAACGTTTTCATAGCAGAAGGAATGAAAGTCCGTCGTTTGTGCATCCACAGGGACGACGGGAAGGAAGGCCTGAAGTTCTACACCAACCCGTCCTATTTCTTTGACCTGTGGAGAGAAAAGATGCTGCAGGACACAGAGGACAAGAGGAAGGAGCGGCGGAAACAGAAGGTAGGTCTAGACGTCAGAAGCACAGGTCCGATCCTTTGGCTGCTGCGGTGGATCGGAGGCGTTTGAGATGTAGGACGCTGAGGTTAGAAGTAGGAAGACGTGGAAACAACAGAGGCTCCCTGTGTTCTCCACATACAGACTGATGTGTCCTTCACAAGGAACCTGACCGGGTTCCTCACTGATAGATTCACAGGCCTGGCTTCATACCACGTAGCCTAATGCTTTAATTAGTCACCACTCACAGATTAATCAGCTCTTCCTTCAGTCAGCCTTCTTAGTTATTGCTTGTGTGATCATTACATCTAATTAATGGGAGCATCTGCTCCTGACTTGCCCCCGCGCTGCGTCATCGCTCTGCCTCTGCGCAAGAAACAAACACACACGTCGGCCTCGCGAGGACGATCCGTACGCAAATTAGATGAAGGGGCTTCGTCGCATCTTCCTCGTGGAGTGGAGAGCCGTGACCCCCCTACTCAAGCAGAGGGGGTTTCCCACCCTCGGCGCCAGGAGCTCTAATCAGCAGCAGCTTGCGTTCCCCTGCGTGGGAAGCAGGCTGCGCTCCACATTCTGCCCCCTCGCAGTCAATCAGAGCTCATTACAGTCATGTCAACGAGGAATAAGGAGAGCGATTTTCCACTGAGGGTTTATGTGAACGTGGAGGATATAATTTGTTGGTTATGAGGTTGTTAATGATTGTGGGAATGGCGCAGACAGGACAGAGGAAGTTTTGCCAAGATTTACTTTGGAGGAGGGCGAGGGAGGGAGAGAGAGCGCCGATATTTACACGTGCTTAGTGCTCGTCGGCTTGTTAGAGCCTAATGAGCATGCATACGTTTTTTATTCTCGTTCCGAAGCGTAAAATGAAACAGAACGCTCATTTGCAAGAGCACATCGACCTGTTTGCTTCACAGGGTTAACGCTGATATGACCGCTTGTAGTCGGCGCTCATTCCAATGATTTCATTCTAATTAAAGCCCCGGGTGGGCTCAGCTTGTAAAGCCATGCTCATTTCCCTCCTCGCCACACTGGCAGTGAGACAGACCCCATGGAAAGGCCCAGAAGACATTCACAGGGAGAACCGGAGAGATTAGAGGAACTAACGCACACATATTTGTTGGTCTGTGTAACCATGGTGCTGGATTAATGGTCTGCAGTGAGGATCAGGGTGAACACAGAGCAGAGAGGTTCGCTCGCTGAAGGACAGGAAGGGCAGATCCACCACACATACATGTAGTTAGTCTGAAAATCAGGGTGTAAACCTTCACACTTAATCACGTAGCTCGTTGAGTGGTTATGCCAACTGATGTCAGTGTCGGTAATGGTGTGTGTGTGTGTTGCTGTGATCATACACACCCATTCTGTCTTCCATCTTATTATATCTCAACTAGATTTTTAAAAACAAAATCATAAAAATGCAGGTATTTTCCATTTCATCCTCAACATTTTAGTATCAACAGCTTTTCCATTCTTGACACACACACTACCAGACACGCGCACCGACACGACCGCCTAAACAGATTTAAACGGGCCGCGACGTGCGGCTGCAGCGCGGCGACCCGATGGGCCGGGCCACCTGTCAGTCAGCGGGACTCTATCTGAGGCCGGCTGCCAACACAGTTTGTGCCATGACAGACAATGTTCCAGCTCTCTTGCGTTTCTCTCCACGATAATGTCTGTCATTCACTCTTTGCTGCCACTCTTTCTCTGCAGCTCACTTTTTTTTTTTTTGTCACCCCCCGCAACTTAAAATGAGGAGGTGTGGCTGAGGAATGTGTTCTGTACAGACAAAAAACAACAACTGTTCAAATATGGATGTGTTCATATCCTCCATTAAAGAAGGAAAATAAGCTGAAAGTGACAAAAGTAATAATAAATAAAAATGTAATGAACATCATGATGCTGCTTTTGAATTGTGGTTCAACAGAGACCTGTGAACTAATATTTAGTTGAACAACCCTTTGAGCCAATCAGATGTTTTCTGTAACTCTCAGTCAGACTTGTGCACCTGTTGACAGGTATTCTGACCCACTGCTCATCAGCAACGTGCTCTCATTTGTCCGGGACAGTTTTGTTTTTTTAAATTATTCTTTTCAGCCACAGTTCAAAAGCAACGTCTTATTTCACTAAATTATAATTTAGCAAATTTTTATTTATTATTACTTTTTCCAGTTTCTAGTTATTTGAGTGACTGTTGTGGATTTTGCCTTTTCTTTAATGGAAGGAGATGAATACATTAGAGGACGACTGTACATCACAGTGTGCAAAATCTCAAAATTCATGTTCAGGGCAATAAAACGTAGTCCACTCCAATAAGGCTTTCATTAAAACAGTGCATTAGACTTGATTAGTGGGAGTGTGTTACGAGTGAAATATGATCCAGGAAGTGCACTTGGAGTAACGATATGATGCACGTTCTTATCAGTAGTTGTGTAATACTCACAGAACAGGACGTTAAGCCTCTTAAACCTGCAGACTGTCAGAGTGCCATCACATGGGGACCTGTGGCCACTGGACGGTGTGCATTTGCGCTTTTAGCATGACCGTCAAGTGGCATCAGATTCTATTTTTTGACAGTCTGCATCAACCTTTATCTTTATTTGCGATGAGAGGTGGGTCTGCAGCTCCGCCCCAGAGACCAGAGCTTCGTCACCCAGACTAGAGAAGGCTCATCGGGTCAGGAGAGCACCAGAAGCATGCTCGTTGTTTTCTTCAACGTTCTTGGGGTTGCGCTCAGTGAATTCCTTCCCCAGGGTTTGACTGTCAGGGCAGACTTCTACTGTAGCGTCCTGAGGGAGACGATTCTGTGGCAGTGTTGTGGGCCACAGTGCTAAGTGGGTTTTTCTTTGGTTTTTGGCAACAACAACTCAGTCTTTGCTCCCCACCTGCCCTCCTGACTAGATTAGGCTCCGTTCGTCTCTCCTTCTTCTTCCCCAAAATGATATTCTAGTTGTAGGGTCGCTGCTGTGACACAGTTCTGCAGATTCAGCACCCAGATGGCGCTGAACATGCTTTACGTAACAGGACTTCCAGGGAGCGGTCCCAACATGACAGCAGCACCGGGACTAGTTCTGCTCAAGGACACTACTTCTAAGCAGATGGCGGACAAATTTAAATCAGGCTTTTGATTTTTACAGGCGCCGTCTCTGAACCTTTTGATTGAACCTCGACACTTATTTTGTTTTTTTATCACATTTTTCTCGGGATCGTTATCTTGAAGACAAAAATCTGATCTCGTCATCGCCGGACATTAGAACAGACGGCCGCAGACAAACAATAATGTTGAATTATTGCCTTGCAGAAATATTTGAGTAACTTTGGAGATGTGTGGTTTTGGAGACTCTGAACTGAACAAACCTTCTACACTCGTCTAAAACAAACATTAAAAACAGAAAAAGAAAGAAGGTAAACAAGACTAAATTACACATGAAAAACAAGAAATAAATCCAGCGGTTGCACACGGACATGCTCGGCTGCTGACATTTTAGAAATAGAAATCAGGTTCTTCTTTTTTTTAAAAAATGCATCTCCACTTGAATCCGGTGATCTCGGACGCCTGATGCCTTTCAGACAGCGGCGGAAGTCCATCTAATGATGATTCAGGTCAAAGTCTTCTCACACCGCAGAAGAATTACAACAAATCACAGCCGAGGCTTTCAGCTGAGGGTGTTGAAGGACAAGATCCGGTGACTCAGTCGGCAAAGTGGCGACGAGGACATTCGTTATTACCAGCTGACCCAGAATGATGAAATGAATGTCGAACCTAAACACGAGTTTTAGGCGATTCCCCTTTTTCCAGAAAGATTTTATGGATTCATTCAGCTGAAAAATGTCAATTTTTTTAAAGCAAGCTTGTTGTTTCCTCCTCTGCAGTGTGTTTTAGATACACAGAGAGCGGATTATTATTCAAAATAGTTCATAGAAATATTAAATATTGAGGCCACTTAAAATAGTAAATGCTTAGTGAGTGAAAGATTATTCTTTTCACCAAGACTTTTAAATGAAGAAAGGCCAGCTGACATTCATGGTTGTGTGGAATCAAGTGGTTTAATGGTACCAGCACAGAAACTCCTTCCTGAAACCAGAGACCACACTGGAACTGAAAGCTCTATTCCTGAATGACACCTGGAAACTGACAAATTAAAAAAAAGGCATAAAAAGTGGGACTGCCATGTGCGATTTTACCATTTTCAGCCAACCGATTTGTCAAAAAAAAGTTGAATTACTGCACTTAATCGTCTGCTTGGTCTCATTCAGTCGGCAGCTGTTTTGTTAGCGAGCCGCTTCAGGAGCAGTTAGTCCACGTTTAACAGAGTGCCTTACTTACAGGCTCAACCAGATCAGAGCTGGTGATAAATGAAAAGCTGTGCGGTGCAGAGAGAGAGCGAGTGGAAGGAAACCTGCAACGTCCTGATCTCATTAGCTCCCGTGTTAGCCTCAGCCTCAGTGGATTAGCAGAGATGTGCTGAGCCAGAGAGTGAGAGGAAACTCCCAGGGACCAGGAGTCCGGAGAGGAGCGATGAAAGATCAGCGGTGGAGTCCGGGCTGGTGTCTGGATTCCCCCGTTTGGCTCGTCCTCTCCCATCCCGCTCTCATTATCGCGCTCACAGGCGTCCTAATGGAATATATTGACATTTAAATTTCAGCCTATTTTTCTCATTTTATGTACTTGTCCAAAAGCGGCAATAAATGTTTTCTGAAATTGCCCTACTGTTGTCTAAAAAGCCTCGCTGCCAGTTCTCGTTAAAATCAGCGGGTGCCAATTGTTGCATGCTAATGAGCTGTCTTGATTGAGTCGGTATAAAAAACTTTTTTCCCTTCCCACATTGTTACAAGTGCCGAGAGAAGAAACCTCTCCTGACTGAAGCATTAAAAGACCGGAGGAGCTTAAATGTGTGTTTGCGAGAAGGAAATTAGAGGCTGAACACCAATAAAGACGAAAAGCGTCAATGTTATTTTTAATTTTCATGCTCTCGGGATAAAACCTTCATGTATGTGTGCAGGCTTGTGCCGAACATGAAGAAGCCGTGTGCAGGAAAGTTAACCATAAAATCCCTTTATCCCAACTACTGACTACACATGATCATGAGAGGACTGAATTATCTGCATAACTCTTGTGGTTTACAGACTCCTTTCTGCAGCCATTCACAATAACAGTTGATTTATTTTAGTCTTAGAAACAACACAAGGCATCTCTGCACACTTTTATGGAAGTCTGGGAGAACAGGGGTGAACGAGAGGGTCCCACACGTCCGTACAGTTCTCAAAAAGAATCTTTTATCGACAAATATTTCAATTTGACAAGTCAAGTCTAACAATGTCCCGCCTCATACTGAACACGGTGAGGTGTCCGTGCACCGGTGATAACATTTTAAAAATAAACTTTATATTTATTTTTCTGTTAGTCTGTATGACTGTGCAGCTGCAACCAGACACTTTGCTGCACAGGTTTGTTTTTAGATCCAAATGGTTTCTGCTTATTTCTAAATTGTTCTCACTTAAAGCTTCGGGGAGGCTGCAGAGTATTTTAACGGCGCCAAACGCTGCTCTGAACGCCACCGAATAAAACGCTGTCCTCGTTCCAAACGCGAGCTGGCAGTGAGCAAAGAGAGTCAAGTCTCCTCCGTTTCTGATACACATTTCCAATGTTAAGTTGCCTTCACCCTCCTCAGAGAGAGAGAGGAAAAAAAAAAAACACTCTCCATCCTTTTACCCCCCGTCCTTGTAGCTGTTGCCATGGCGACCACTCAGATCCATTCACTGGGTCAGAGATAACCGGCGCTCCCGGTGCCCTGCCCGGGGCCGCGGCAGCTGCATAACCCAAGACGGCGGCTGCACCGTCAGCACCGACACGCTGAGCCTTTGTTTGTGTGTCGCGAGACACACTTCACCTCTGGTTTCTTTTTAGAGATATTCGGACCGGGAACAGATCTGAGGTCGTGTGAACTCCGGCATAAATAAATGAACGACCTCCAGCCAGGGTGGACGGGGAGAGCTGAATGTGCAGTTTGCTCAGGCACATAAATGAACAAATGGATCTCGTGTTAAATGTTGACCTTTGTCATTAGCGAAGCAGCGCGCGGTCACATCATTATCTTCCTGCAGCAGAGCGAGCTCATGTTAAGTGTTTGTGAATGCTTCGTCCACAACACAGCCTGCGCGAGGACGCTCTAGTGACTGTTTCCCACCACTGAGAAGCTCTTTAATGAGATTACGCAGCACCTTGTATACACAGGAGAGTTAGCGCCCAGCTGATACATAGATGGGTAGATATTATTGATCAGTGCTTCTCATGTGTCCGTGTCAGCAGATGGTCTCATGCACTCCAGTTTAAAAACGCAGAAAAAGGTGCTTGGGGTAGTTTAGAAATGGTGTGTTCACTAAGTTTGTCCATCTGAGCTGCTCTGACTGGACTGTTCCTCTGAGCACTGTATGCAGCGCATGTAGCAGAGCACGCATCACGACTCAGTGAATGTGATGGAGCCAGATCAGGTCTTAATAATGAGGTGCTGACTACCTCACTGGAAAAGTAATAAACAATTATTATTTTTGCCTCTCAGTATATATAAGCAGATATCTGAAGAATATTGACCGATATATTGAAATGAGACTGCAGTCCAGTAACAGTCCGGTTCTAATGAGAACCGAGCAGCATGCTAGTTCATGCACTTATCTAAAACTGAATTCAAGCACCAAGAACTATATTTGCATTCGTTTTTTTTCCCACAGCAATGATAGTTTCAAGCAAGACTGCACGAAATGTAAGTCCTGCACAATGACTGTCATGACGGTGCCATCCCTGTTTCATACGTGTCAGAACCGTTTGGTACAACAAAACCAAATGACTCCCAACATAACAGCTAAACTGCTGCACATTTCGATGGCACAGCGAGCCAACCGGCTTCACGTGAGCTCAGAAAGAGGACAACGTGCTCCGTCTGCACACTTCATGCAGAAGACGTTTTAACAATCCTGCTTTGTTCTGCTGTTCTTGCAGCTCGTTACAAGCCGCTGCACCTGTTTCAGTTTGTGTTAGCTTGTTTTTGCAGGCGCAACAGCAGCTAATGGGGAGAGAGGCGAGAAACAGTCGATCGAAAGGCAAATTCGGCCGTCTAACTTTGGCCCGAGTTCAATCAGGTGTGACAGAGTGTTATCCCACCATGCAGACGGTGCATCTGCAGTCCAGCTATCTGTGAACTCAGCCTGTGTGTTTTTCTTCTCCTGCTGCAGCGTGGATACTATTTCATGCTCATTTAAATAACTTTAGATTTGGACTCAGTGATAACACTAGCAGCAGCCACATGAAGGTAATGTGATGTTTCACTGGCAGAAGAGCGATTGTGCGTCATCGATGGTGAGAAAAATGCCAAAGGACGGCTTTAGGGCCTCTCTTCTTACTGTGTACATTCCTCTCAACCTTTGCTTCTCACTCTTTTTCTGAATCCTGGTCTCTATCTAACTCTGTGCAGCTGGAAATGCCTTATCTTGTGTATCCCAAGAGCCTTATAAGAGTCCTCTCTGAAACCCCTCCTCCCTTCTTTACTCCCCCAGAGGTAAGAACTTCTGCCTTCTCCCCCTCTGTCAGAGCATCTGCTTCTCATGCAGTAGCCTGCAGCCCTCTCTGTCTCCCCCACCACTTCCCACTCCTCCCCCCCTCTGGTTTGCTCTGAGCAGAGAAGCTGCCCACGTCCAGCCCGTTACTAACAACCCTCCAGTACTTACCTGCATCCCAGTTCTCCTTGCGGGGTAGAAAGCCCGGGAGTTTGTGACGCTGAATGCCTTCTGTCAGTAATCTTCCAAAGAAGGGAAATTTGTCATCCTCTGTTACGCAGAGACGTTTTACCCATAATCCCACCTGGTCTGTGCATGGAGACAGCTGTGGCTCTAACACACTGCATGCCGGCGCACCGCTCGTCGTTTTTTTCTCCACACAGTTGACTCACGGTTTTTGCCTTCGCGATGCTGAGCTGCTTCGCTATAAAATACAAGTATGTCGTATTTATTTCATCATAACTCCAACCTGAAACATGATAGGATATTATTTTTGAAGTCTTAAGCATGTGATGGTTGGATGCTTTATATCTGATGGATAGGATGCTGTGAGGAGGAGGACTTTGAGTACACACTTGACTTGCAGCAAGACAAATCAGAACGGTGTGTATTTCCTAGCGGATGACTGTTCTGACGCACCTGAATATTGCTTTTGGTTTGATTTATTGGTGAAATGAATATTCTAGCATATGAATAGCGATTCCTTTCCGTTGTTAGCAATGAACCACACATATCAAAGCTGAGGCTGACGTTTGGTTTTTGAATTCAACATTCTTGATTTGAGCCTTTTTCAGTTTAGTGGCTTCGTTACCAGCAACACTGTCTGATAAAGGCAACAAGAAGTGATCCAATATTTTATATGTTCATTACATAAATGATCTTATTGATAAATAAGAGAAGTAGTGTGAGATAGTTACTGTCTGTACAACCCAAACCCGACAGATCAGCAGCAGTAGTGTATGTATTGTGTGAGGGTTTTGTGTTACTGTCAGCAGCGGGGTGGTCCAGCGGGCCTCCCTGTTGGGGTGGGGGGTTCAGTTCTGCTGACTCTGTCACTTTGAACATGAACACAAACCCATTCACACACAGCCGTAGTGTGTGTGTGTGTACCAAACATAAATCTATAGCTGCTGCGTCGCACACACTCATAAACACACAGTACTTGCACAGAAACGCTTCTTCCCGCTCCATTCAGATGAAGGATGGCGACCTCGCACCGGCACACGGCGCGCTGAAATTAGCTGCATTTATTCCGACTGCGACACAGAAACACACGGTTCCTCTGTGTTCCCTCACACACTGCTGCTTCCCTCCCTTGTTTGCTGTTTGTTGTCACATTCATTCCAACCTTCACCTGTTCGAGAGATTGTCGTCTCACGCTGACGCGTTGGACTCCCACCTGTCCTTTCACTTTAATGTCCATAAAACCAAAATCCCATAATAGCAGCCTGCAAACCCCACAGTAGCTTCATACAGCATCCACTTGTGCAAATATCGCTAAGACACCGTTACCGCAAAGCTTTCAGGAAGTCAGAGGTGAGGCGGAGCAGGATTAATCACGTGATCATATGTCTGGATTTTAGAGTCCCGTCACCGTGTGGGGGAATAGCAGCAGATAAAATGCTTCCGATAGATGAAATAGAAAAGTTGCTGGAGCAGATTTGCGCATCCGAATGTTGTGCGCAGAGGCTTTCCCCTCGGCCGCCGCCTCGTCGCCGCTAATGGGCCGTGATGAATCAGAACCTAATCAATGCGCATTAGCATTAGGATTTATTCCCAGGCTCGCTCTCAGCAGCCGGCCGCAGCAGTGGACGGACAAAATCAACATCATTCAGCCAAACCGGAGGAGCTGCTGCTGCTGTCCACAGCCCACACTGTGTTGAATCAGCCGCCTTGTCAGCCAGCATGCTTCATTTGAAGGCCAACACACACACACACACACACACACACACACAGAGTTATTGAATAAGCAGGGAAGGCCACCTCAGTGGATCTATGTGACATAAAGGAAATCGGTCGGTATTGCTCGTAGCGGACAGTGTTGCAGGCTGGATATTGTGCTTCTTTTTCCCACACTAATGCACGCTCACACCAACCTGTATGATGTTTCTGCTGCTAGATATACCACTGCAATAATTGTTTGACTCCTCAGAACGCCAACAGGGGAGACTGTATGTACAGTATGTATAGGCAGCTTTGGACACTGCTGTGCTTCTAGTTTAGCTTGTAACATTACCTGTTTCTGTTATGACCACAATACGCCTCCTTGAGCAAATACTTTACACTCAGAGGATAAGTCTGGGATATTCTGTGTTTTTCTTGAAGTCGCAAAAAGGGAATAAAAAGAGCAAAACCAGCAATTAAGTGATCCCACTAACAGTCAGTGTGTGAAGCTGTTCCGTCTTAAAGCATCAATGAGCCTCATTGTTTCACCGGATCGCCTTCATTACAACGACTGTACGCGCTAACTGTGTGTACATCCGCAGCTGAAAGTAGTCCACAACAAACACTATTTAGTATATTTTGCTTAAATGCACAAGAACGATTCACAAACGTTCTTACAAACAGACGACGTTGGGATTCAGGAAGCACTAAGAGGCAGAAGGATTTGTTAATAATAAGAAAAATACAGAATAAATCAGCCTCATCCTTAAAGTATTTGCCCTGGAGGTGGGAAGTGTGTTTATATTGGAATTGTGTATGTCAGGATTTGTGTTTCTCATGCATCCTGTGAAGTGGTTCAGGTGGACTGGAGATGGTGTCTTCATGAGCTCAATGTGAAATGCCCCTCCATGACTTTATTGTCCTTCCTGTGTTATATTATTCTGAGTTGACTAGCGTGTGTGTGTGTGTGTGTGCTGCATGCCATTCTTCGATGTGTTGTTGTTGTTGTTGTTGTCGTCATAGACTGTGTGCTGTTGCTGGAGCCTGACAGTCTTTCCTACATGTAGAAAAAAAACAAACCCACCACCATTGTAGTTTGTCCTGTCATTCCAGTGAGATCTTTCCCTTTCCACCTCAGTCTTCTTTCTGTTTGGGATGATGTGTGTGTGTGTGTGTGTGTGTGCGTTCTACCTGCATTGTGACGTCCCCGAGCTGCGCATGTTGTCACTTTCTGTTTAACAGCACTTTTCTTTTCCCCTCTTTCCCTTTTGTCCCGCTCGTTCTCACCGCCCACTCTGTTTTTTTCCTTTTTGTCCCTGTTGACTGTGTGCAGCCGTGTTGTGCTCAATCCTGTGCTGTGTTGATTTTGTTGAACCCCCCTCCCCTCACCCCCGGTGCTTCTCTTGTGGTTTTTGTTTTTGTTCTTGTAGTTGCAGGACCCCCGCATGTATGATCAGGTCTATAGGTACTTAGACCTTCCAGGGCAGGTATGTGAAAAATACAGCGATTTATTTTAACACTTGTGTGTGATTGGTGCTACGGCAGCTTCCTGTGTGCTGAAGTGTGGGAGGCAGGGACTGCTGTTTGATAACGGACCGCTACAAGATTCTGCTTTATTGCTCAGCTTCCTTTATTATTAAGTTTTGTTCTTCCGTAAAGTACATTTAAAATGATTTGATTTGGTGGATCAACGGGCATTCCCTGTTCCCAAGCTTGTATGACACAACATTTTCTTGCTTCTGCTTAAGATTCTGTGTGAGTTGTGTCTTCAGAGAGCTAAGTTTAAATTAAAAAGCACTGAGCTGGACAGAAGTCACCAATTTTCAAAGGCTGCTTTTGTATGTGGGTATTTATGTGGCACATGTAAAGTTAAACCAGAGGGTGTGGCAGCTCTCAGAAAGTCAGATTAATGATGACATTTGTGTGTGAATAGTCAGAAGATGCTCCCGTTTTTCTAGATCTGCCTCCACTGTCTTTATCTTTTCTTGCAAGACGACGAGTTATATTTAACAGCTAATCTGTTATCTTCTCTCCTCTCATCTCCTCTCACTATTGTCTGTCCCGTCATCCCCAAACCATCTCCCGCGGGTTCACACTCCGTTTGATTCCTCGCCTACGTCTCCCCCCTCTAACCGTCTCCCCCCCGCCTTTCATCACCTCCTCTGCCAAAGCTGAAGGCGATAGACCGTCCGCAGGAGCCGGACAAGGTACCGCGGGCACCTCACGACCGCAAGAAGGAGTGGCAGAAGCTGGCGCTGGGTGCGGAGCTCGCCCAGGACATTCCCGAAGACAAACACAGGGAGGCCAACGGATCCGCAGGTTACCACGACAACAGGTGCGTGAAGGCGGCTCGCGTGGCTCCAATTAGCCCGTCACAAGTTCCCAGCAGGTGTCGCTTAACATGCACATACATCCTGGTAGCCAGAAATACTTTCATTTTTTATTTAATTTTTCCTTTATTTAACCAGGTAGGTTAATTGAGAACAGGTTCTCATTTACAATAACAACATCATACAGAACAAACAGAACTTCTGATTTGATGCAACAATCAGCTGAATTATCAGCAGGACGCAATTACTCACATCTACAAAAATATATGGTGGCCCAGACCACAGTGGGTTCTACGCTTTACCAACACCGAGGAGATGCAGACACAATGGGGGCGACGAAGGTCCCTCACAGCTCTGATTGCGTTTATTGTGCCTCAGAGCTCCACTGCCACTCATGTTCAGCCGTTTCCCTGCTCGTCAGTGTGATTAAGAAGAAAAGGTTTTTATGCAAATCGGCTGGTCTTGCTGGACTCGTCAGCAACGTGCACCGCTGACACAAAACCTGTCCTGCAAGTGCAGATGCACTTCAAGAGAATGGATACGGCAGCGTTGGACTGAATAGATGGTTGAGTGGGCGTGACTCTGGATGCTGTACCCACAGTGACGGACAGCAGCAGCAGCGTCCGTATTAAAACTGTAGCCGACGTGCATTTACATTAATCTCATGCGTAAAAATCTATAAAACTGGAGCAGCAGGAGACACATTTAGATGTGACTTTCTGTAGCGTATGACAACATATGTTGAGCCCAAATCGAACAGCAGCGTGTGATAGAGTCATGTGATGCTGTGGTATGTTCTCTGAGATGTCTCCATCAGACAAACAGAGTCACTACAAAACACGTCGTTCTTCATTTTATATGGCAGTTTCTGTGTTTGACGCTTTTTAAGCATGACAGTTCATAGATACCTCAAACCTCCACCTCTGATGAAGGACTGTTTGCTTTTATTTTTACTCTAACACGGCTGATGTTGAGCTGCTGTATAGATAGAGGAGTGTTGTAGAAAAGAAGTGTTTTTCCTTTCTTATTTTTTTACATATTTTGATTTAAAGCTCGTAGACTGCTTTGTCTTTCGTGTAATTTAGACCAGCAGAAAGCAAAGTCACTTGGCGTTTAGATGGTGATACGTGTCTCTTGAATGGCAGCACCCACAGAGCGCTGCATCAAGCCCAGACCATCAGCATCACTCACTTCACCCGTCAGTGGTTTCAGAGATGGGTGGAGGTCGGAGGTGTTGCTGTCGGTCATGGTGGGAGTCTGAAGCTCTTCAAGAGCTGGCAAGATGAATTACAGGAGAGCATTGTTCTGCAATGCAAAATGAATTTATTTTTCTTTTCTGACCATTTTCTAATGATTAGAAACATTTGATGCCTTTTCGTGCCCCTAAAAATGAGGTCAAAGAAAAGCACGGCGGTAATTAATCTGCACAATCTGCTCTAAACTTTTAGTTCCCTTTACACGTATCTATAGCTGAATCCACACTGATTAGTCCTTCTTCAACCGGATGAATCAGTTTTACTGCCGAGTACGACGAGTAGAAATGTTTTTAAAAAGGATCACAAGAAAGTCAAAAGAACAGCAAGTGTTGGAAATGCAATGATGCATACAAAGCAACAGAAATATTTACAGTTTGCCAGAATGTGCAAATTATTCATCTGAGAATGTGCAAAGTGACACGTAGAGTGTGAACAACTTGAGATGGATCAGAGGGTAATAATAAAGCTGACGATGAAGCTGCTTGTTCATGTGTTGAGTCTGTGCTCGAGGGTAAAGGCAGGAGAGAAGCTGTGTGGCCTCGTTGGAGCTCAGCTGTTGTTGTTGTTGTTGTTTAGGTTTAAGAGCAAACAACAAACCAGAGTCACATCCTTTGTATTTGAACTTCAAACTAATTCTGCTTTACCATGAAGTTTTTGCACATCAGAAAGTCTTCCTGCAAGTTGTGTTAGATCATAAATCTTTCACATCATAAATGACTCGGGCCTTCATTTAGATATAATTCATGATAAATGAGCCGATTTAGCAGAAGAAGATGAAGACTGTAAATAAAGTGAGGCTCAGTGTAGTTAAAGTGCTCCACATGAAGCGGTGCTATCCAGGTTATGCAGAACGTGCAACTGAACGCGTCACGAGCAACGCGAAGCAGACGTGATTTAAATGATGAAATAAAGCCGTGTTCCTCTGCTCAGGGCTCCCTTGTACATGGAGCACTTGGACGGGCCCTTCTCGCTGGCAGCGCTGCCCTACAGCCAGATGAACGAGCTGCTGAACCGCACCGGGGACAGAATGTATTCCCGACCCCACGACCCGCCGCCGCCGCCGCCTCCCATGCACCCACTGGGAGAGATCAAGCCACCCTCTGTGATCAGGTGGGCCAGGAGACGACACTCGCGCCTCAGTTTCCGCTCTGTTTCTCACTCTTCCATCTCACCTCTGACCTGAAAAAAAAAACAGCTTAAAGGCTCCGTGCAGATTCAAACGACAGGGAGGAGTTATTTATGAATGCAGCCCCATCCCCGTCTCGTTGCCTCGTTTGTCTCCGGTTTTTCCTCCTTGCATACATCAGTTGGTCACAGTGAGTGGCATTCGATTACTTTTCTGTTTGTATGTGAGAGGAGGAAGATTTTTCTTGCTGTTAGAACGGACCAGACGATTGGGATTTTGTGAACCAAAGACAGAGTTTTTAAAAAAACCCCAACAAAATAAGAGAGGGCTTGGAGAAGGGCAGGATCGATAGTGTGTTAAGGCCACTGAGCACATTACAGGTTGTTTTTCTGCTGCGCTCTTTTGCCGCATATGTCACAGTTTGAGGGGATGGAGAGATCTGAGGGAATGATTAAAGCAGCGCCAGAGAAATATCACATTGATTTTTCCACTTGTCCTTGCAGCTACTTTCTCCTCTTTTCCTCCTCGCTCTCATTTACTTCTTCTGACCTTTAGTTCTGCCGTGTTGCCGTTTTTTTACGAGTCGCCATCATCGTGTTTCCTTTCAAAACTTTTCCTACCTTTTTAATGTAGCACACGGAGCAGATATCGGCACAGATTCGGCCTCGAGCGTGTTTAGAGGAAACACTCTGTTTTCCTCCCTCTCCCCACGTCTCTCGCTGGGCTTTTTGTCAGCAGTGCAATTTCCTTCGTAGGAAGAAAATTGATTGTGAACGTGTCGGTCTTTGTGTTGCGAGGTCCTGGTTAATGGCTAGATCTACCCACACAAGCCTCGGCGTCGGTGAATGGCCGATGCTGTTAACAATCTGCTGTTAGTGTGCCGGTTACCGTAAGGTCTAGATGCTCGGGAGATCTCAGCTCTCCTCGAGTCGCCTTTAACCTCTAAATTGACGCGCTGACATTCAAGTAGAAAATTCTTTGTCATCGTGATTCTATCCACGCTTTCAAACTTCTCTGGCGTCGTTTCCAAGAGCTACTGTAGGCACGATCACGAGTCCCGGCAGCTGATTCCGACGCACCGCTGCACATTTTTAATTGAGAAGAAATAATTACATTTAGTCGAACAAGACGAACTGGGATGTTGACATGCGCTTCTCAGGCATCGCTCATGTGTTGACACGCCACTTAGTTGCAACCGTTGTCGAGCTTTCCGCACATACGCAGTTGACGGTGGCAGATTTTGAAAATTGAAACAAGCGCTGCCTGCAGATTTAATCAGCTGTAGCTAGCAAGCTAATTAAGATAATGTTGGTTCCATGAGTTGGTCGAAAACTGCTGACTTCTTCATTTTTCCAGCCGACTCATTTCACAAACAGGACTTTTGATGCTGATGTGTTCTACTGGACGCCCGAGGCTAAAGGCGCATGTCGTGGAAATTTGTTCTTGGATTGCAGCGTGAAGCTAATTAGTCGGGATCTCAGGTGTAACGAGGACACGTGTGTTTTCTCTCTCCGTCCTTTCAGCTCCAGTTCGGGTTTCTCCGACAGCAGACCCCAGTCTCCAGCCCGGACAGCAGGCCTCAACTCCAACACTCCTCCTCCTCCGCCACCTCCTCTCCCCCCTCCTCCTCCGCCTTTACCCTCCTCAGGCCTGCGGGGCACCCCTCCTCCCCCTATTCCTCCTCTCCCGGTCCAGCAGCAGCCGCCGGCCATCCCGCCTCCCCCAGCTCCCCTCCAGATCGCCCCGGGAGTGCTGCACCCGGCGCCTCCGCCCGTGGCGCCTCCCCTCCACTCCTCGTCCCCGGCCCGTCTCCAGCAGGTCCTGGACAAGGGCCCATTGGCGGGCTCTGGGACTCAGTCCGACGGCAGCATCCTGCCTCCTCCTCCGCCGCCGCCTCCCCTGCCCCTCCCCGGAGCACGGAGCTCGTCGCCCTGTCCGTCAGGCCCGCCGCCCGTGCCGGCCTTCCCCTCAGCAGGAGCCATGGCCTCCCCGCCGCCCCACTCCCTCCACGACGTGGGGCTCAAGAGGCACCATCCAGCCAACCTACCGCCCATCAGCGACGCTCGCAGCGTCCTGCTGGAGGCCATCAGGAAAGGTGAGAGGCGCTTTGCAAATGTGTTCAAAAAGAAGTTCTTTATTTGTTTTAGTTTTTTTTGCCATTTGGCTTTAACAGACAGGATAGTCGAGAGGAAGGCAGGGAAGTAGGAGAGAGTGTGAGGGAAGGACCTGCAGAAAATGGTCATGGGGTGGATTTGAACCAATGGCCGCTGCATGTATGGGTTGCCCAGTCCACCGGTTGAGCTGCCAGGGGGCCCGCAAGAAGTTCTTTTAAAAGACGGCGGATCCAGATGTTCACGGTTGCAGATTCACTGCCGCTACTGCTTTAAAACAGTTGACTTCTGGAGGTTCTTGATCAGGGGTGTCCAATCCTGGTCCTCGAGGGTCACAGTCAATTGAATCAGGTGTGTTGGAAGAGGGGACACATCTACAACATGCAGGACTGTGGCCCTCGAGGACCAGGATTGGACACCCCTGGTCTAGACGTTCTGCAAGTTCTAAATAGCCTAGAAGCTCTGCAAGCTCCACAAGTTCTGGAAGTACCAGAAGTAATTCCTTCTTTTATGTTCTTCTCAGAAGTCCATAGCTTCAGCCAGTAACGGTGGAAGTTGAGAGAAAGTTAGTTCATAATCAATTACCTGATACGTGGATAATGAGCTACTGCTCTGACAATCAGCTTCTTTTTTAATCCTTATTGAAGCAAAGCAACAAACTTTGCTTACACGTTTGTGTACCAAACACTAAGTACATCTATATGAACTAGGTGGTAAATGATGGTACAGATAAACTACATTTATCTTTGGACTGTCCGATAAACACAGAAGGAGCCTGTATTAAACCTACTGGGTTCTTTCACACACCGAACAATTAATTAGAAAATAATCAGCAGACTGATAATGAAAACAACAACTAGTTCTAACCCTGAACGAGCCTTTTGTGGATGAAGCACTTCCTGTCCACTATTTGATTCCTTATGTGCTCCTCTTGCCAGCAGACGTGTCTAATGAGATGCCAGATTTTAAAATGAGCTCTTATATCAACGAGATAAAACTTTAGCAAGCAGCACGAGTCCTCGGCTCTATCTCAGTCGGCTGAATTTTGCTTCACTGCGGTCCTGCTTTGTGATCTTGGTTTATCAGATGACTTTCGTTTTACACCCCAATTACATTATTCTTTATTAGCCATTAGAACAGAAATGTGAGCCGTGTCCGTTTCCCTGCTGCAGGCATTCAGCTGCGCAAAGTGGAAGAGCAGCGAGAGCAGGAGGCTAAACACGAGCGGGTCGGCAACGACGTGGCCACCATCCTGTCGCGCCGCATCGCCGTGGAGTACTCCGACTCCGAGGACGAGTCCGAGTTCGACGAAGGAGACTGGATGGAGTGAAGGCGGCGAGGGCAAAGAGAGGAGCAGCGTTGGCGACGGAGGACAAACGTGTTCAGGTGACCAACACCAAACCTCGCCATCCAAGAAGAGAAACATCGATATCGCCCACGTTTCCCCCGTCAGGCTTTTTTATCTCGTCATATCTCTGTCTCGTTGTGGTTTGTGTTCGGTGGAGAGTCTCCACGTCGCCCTCGTCGGTCTTTCTAGTGTTCCCAGAGAATTTCTTTTTTTGCATTCATTCTGTTCTGCACTACTACACGACCTTGTTTCTGCTGGATTTCTTGGTGATGAAATCCCCCATGTTTACTATTGTTATACATGAAAATAACTTTTTGAAGAGCCACTTGTTTTTGTTTCTTATCTGTACGTTGATGTTAAAAAAAAAAAAAAAAAGAACACACAAGAAAAAAAGAAAAAGGAAAAATGAAGGCATGTTGCATCTATCTTTAGTTCTTCAACATAGTTTTGCCACCTTGTGGCCGAACACGGCATCGAGTGAATGCTGCTTTATTTTATCCTCTTTTATTTACCTTTTACTGCCGAAGCATTTTGCAGTTTTAACAGGCCAGTAGTTTCCAGTACTGACCGCTACACGAACAGTTTGAACACCAGCTGGGTCGTCTTCTGTTTTCCGTCTTGTTACCAGGACTGACTTCACCACTAAGAACAAGCAAAAGATTGTGTCGCTACGTCATGTGATGATTGTTGTGCGGTTGAAATGACGATGGGAAGCATTCGGCTGCTGTGGCCACACGTGTGCGTATCCATCCACTGACATGTAACCTTTAAGCCCAGGGAAACGTACGCCAAGAGATTCACTTCTTCTGTCTGTCCAGGTTCAGAGGAGCCACTTCCGCTCACGTTGACATCAGGCAATGTCAAAGAGAAACACTTAAGCCATTGATTTGGAGTGTATTCAGCTCCCGTCGTTTCCTCGATTTTACGCAACAGAGACGGACGCTGGAAGTGATTTGACGCTGTAGATGAGTTCCTGCCTCGCTTGTTGTCCCTGATAAATATTGACGGCGTGCCCACGATAATGAGAATCCGACCAACAACGGGTACAAACCACTCGACATCACCGAAGGCAGCTTTTCCCGCCCCTCAGATCCCCCTTTTACTGTGTAGCTGCCCGAGAAGCCTCGCCTCGTCCGGCTCCACGACAGCAAGAGTAGATTCTGCGCGATACTGCCTTCTGATCCCCGAACAGAGAGGTATTCATTCTGCCTTGTTTGGCTCATTTCACAGAAAATGTCTGCCATCCTTTTCCGTTCGTTCGTTCTTTTTGTTTTGTTTTTTTTTCTTCTACTTGCCTTATTGTTCGTACAAAACGTATCGTTGAGTTGATGAATGTATTGTGCTGTTACTACTTACTTGCCTGCGCTTGTATGGATTTGCTGTTTCTATGTTCGGGTGGGAAAAAGGGACCCTGGTTTAAAAAAACAAAAAAACAAGAAAAAAGATTCGATCAATACTGTATACCATGTAACTTATGTAACTGTTGACTGTAACAGTTTGCTTGAATTAATAAAACTCTAATGTTATGTTTCAGCGCTACGTGCTAACGGTTTGTCGTCGGGGAGTAGAGCTTCTCGTCTCAGCCCAGCTCTGGTCTTTAGCTTGATTTGATCACCGATGATCGTACACGAGCCAGGATTTCTCAGTTTGACTGGAAATTGAACTCCTTAAACTTTCTGAGGAGAACCCTAAAAATAAAAAGTCAAAATTAGAGACGATTACTTCTTTGATCCTGATTTTAGAATCAGATGAACGTAGCCAGAAAACATCGTCCTAACTTACGCTGAAATGTTGCGTTCTTGGTTTAAGAAGTTCATATGAGTAATTCCAGATTAAATTTAATAGAACCACTGGTGTGACTGATTGCTAGTCTCAAACTGATTCAAATAATTTCAAAATAAAAGCACACCATTAATTCTCGTGTCCAAGATTGACAAATAAAACTGCTTCCTCCACACACAGGAACAAGTTAGGTCAGGGGTGTCCAATCCTGGTCCTCCAGGGCCACAGTCCTGCATGTTTTAGATGTTTCCCTTCTTCCAACACACCTGATTCAAATGATCAGGATCATTATCAGGTTTCTGCAGAGCTTGATAATAAGCTGGTGTGTTGGAAGAGGGAAGCATCTAAAACATGCAGGATTGTGGCCCTCGAGGACCAGTGTTTGACCCCCCTGAGTAAGGTGATGAGAACCACGAAGGTCTTTTTATTGGGATAGCATCGGGTTAACTTGGAGACATGTTTACTTTCGATGCACTTAAATTGCAAAAAATATACGAATGTGCAAATGAGAAATAATCATAATAGTAAACTGCTCTATCCTCCATTTGTCCTTAACTTTTAGTTGATTACCGTCTGTTTGCTCAGAAGGTGGAGGTACTGATACGCCAACAGGAAGGCTATGGATCCTACATGGTGGAATCTGAACCAATAAATTAGCTCATACATGGAATTCACCCTAAAAAGTTAATACTGCAAAAGCTCAGCAGACTAATTATCAAGTCGGGTGAAGCTGTCTCACTTCGTCCAGGTGCAAATAGATCTTATCTAAGGAAACGTCCCCAGTGATCCACGTGAACCTGCCTTTAAAAAACAGATAAAACAGAAACTTGATGGGCTCACACGCCGCCACACATTCCTCCATTCCCCGGTTCTCCCTCATCACGTTCTCACTTAACTCATCTTCTCACCTCTTCCCTCCTCCGCCTGTTTCCTCCCCGTCGTCTCTCTGAACAGAAGGGATGCTTCTGGAGTTTTGGTGTTTATTATTTTGTCATTTTTTGTCCCGTCACTCTTTATCCTCTAAAGCCTGCGGTTTCAAAAGACGCTCTGGGCATTTCAGCTTTCGTGTCAGGGCGGCAACGCGACATCTGCGCCCCGCAAAACACGTCGGCGTGGGGACTGGAAGTTGGCGGCGTGGTGAGGGGTTTCTCATGTGGCTCGCCGGTAGGAGGAGGAGGCTTATTAAAAAGTGAGAGTGTGCACGCGTCTGAGGGGGAAGCTGATGAAAAAGAGATTTAATTACCAGATACAGTGTGTTATTCTGCTCATGCTGGGAAGATGTCCAACTGTTCCACCTTGGAGGGGAGCTGTCTGATTTGTTTTCTCCCCGACATTAAACTGTAGTCAACAGACCTGAAATTGCATTTGCGAATAATCATCAGCGGCTGTACTTTAGTTTCACACTGATGCGTTGTGCCACAATCAGCTTTAGAGCTTCCTATTTGAATTATGCTTGTGCAAGAATGTTCTACCTGCCTGCACCTCATAATTTACTGCAAAAAAAAAGGCTAAAAATAAGACTCTAAGTGTTTGTCTTTTCTCTAATCTACACAGAAGTGACAGCTTATTGAAACACTTCCCCCAAGTGGACATCATTTGTACAGAAAGCCTTTCATGAGCCATGAACTTGTGTATTTCTAGAGGGACGGCACAGTAAACTTAAACACTATTAACTACCTAATGACGGAAAGTTCCTGGAACAGACTGACACTCCAAAATACGAGCACGTCATCTGTTTATTTTCAAGTTGCATTGACACCGTTTTATATTCTATCAAGGCTTTCCAAAGATTTGTAACCAAAAAAAAAACATTCAATTTGTATAAATGCTGTATAAACATAGCTGCACCCAGTAATGCAAACAAAAAAAAAGAGAGAGAAGGCAAAGCAGGGGCAGGTCAGACTGAAATGAATTCACAGCAGAATACATTAAGACTACTTTAGTTTGGAAGCTTTTGCATTACACAGCACAGTTCGGGCATAAAACACAACCTAACACTGGTGTAGTTTAAAAGGAATTCATTACTAAAAACAGTGTTTTCACAAGTTATGAATGTGATTCATCCTGATCTAGATTTGCTATATATGTAAAAACTGCATTTGTTCTTTACAAACTGAGGAGTGTCACAAAGAATCTGCACTTTTAGAAAACATCAATTCTATCAAGATCTACTCGAATTCAAATATATATACGGTAAGAATAGCAGCTCATCTATTATTAAACACAGCTGTTATAAAGACGTAAGGGCAGGGTGGTATCCCAAAACGATAAGAACTGAGAATCTAAAAAAACAGCTTAATGTCTTAAGAAGTTTTGTGAGGTGGGGATTTAAATACTCAAGCACAACAGACATTTTTATGCATCAAATGGAATGCCCCCGTGATACAGATCCAACCCTGAGGGGCTTTAAACCCGGCTCTGCTGGTTGACATTCAGCCCCATCAATCAGATAAGACACCCAGTAACTGCAGTAGGATAGTATTATACTGTATAAGGCTGTCAACTTGGATGTGTCGGTCTTTCCAAAGGTTACACTCTAACACACACTCATGGATGTTTCACCCATTTTGTCGCCCTCACTCTCACCTTAGTTTCTGTCTTTCAAGTTCTACCTAAAGTCTGCTTTGTTTCGGTATCTACATGCTGCCACGGCATCTGCAAAGGGTTCAATCTTTCCCTGGTTTGTCATTTCACTTTGAGGGTGTGATTTTTCCTGCGAGGCAGCGTCTTCTGGACCTGGCGGGCCCGAGTGCCAAAACCGAGAGACTGCAGGGACTCGGTGATGAAGCGCTGCGTCGGAGAGACGCACAACATCACCAGCAGCTTGGCGTCGCCACCTAGTGGACGAAGGTGGAGAGGAACAAGGGAAAGGAGACGGAGACGAGGATGAAAGGATTATATGTGATTACATGACGTGTACGTCTTTGTCTTTACATGGGAGGCACCGTTGTGTGTCTGACCTATGGTGTCCTGCAGCAGGTGAGTGAGTTTGCTGTTCCTGTAGGGGACGTGAGGCCTCTGCTCAGCCAGGGATCCCAGGACATCGGACAGCGCTGACAGGCTGCGATTTATGCACGACACCTCCCACAGAGCTGCACCCGAAATTCCCGACATACCTGGTAGACAGAAGCAATAACGTCAGTCCATGAGCTCGGTGAACAGAGCTCTGTACTGTGATGCAGGTTTCAGGGTTATCGAGGTAACTTCAGGTTCAACCCTGAATTTACAGTGTTACAATGGCGGTTTACTTTGTCACCATGGCAACCTATGCTGCACATCTGGAGGACGGGAGTTTTCAGAGATCCGTCTTTTCTTTCCCTGACCAGCATAAATACGAGAGATACAGAATGTCAATGGTGGGAATTCCAGGAATCCTTGCTTTATTCAACAGAGACTATTTAAAACACTTCAGAATGTAATTGTTGACCTTTTAAGATTTGCAGCAAACTCTTGAATTATGTTTTGTATTTGTTCTTTTTACTTTCGAACAGATTGCAGCTGAAAGAGTGAAGCTAGAACTGTCCTAAACGTCGCAAGAACATGCTACATCTGAGCAACACGTTTTGGCGTGAAATAAAAAAAAGTCATACTATAGCATGTCGTTTTTGTCAAAACAGGTCATGATTCAGAATGTCGTCAAAACGCTTCAGGATGTAGTACACAGTGGATATACTTCAATGCATGTCGTAGAAATCACCTGAGGAAAGTATTTCGCAAAGAAAAGTCATTTTGAGTTTTGGTGTGAAATAAAAAAGTCATGCTATAGGGCCGCTGCTATAGCTCACCTGGTTGAGCTGG